GAGCCACTACCCACAGGTGACTTTAGGGAGGGTGTGTGTGGGGGGGGGGAGGCTGCAGGTCCCCCCATTAATACAGGAACATTGCTGGTGGTTCCCCTTCATCAGAGAGGGAGGAGAAATTTGCACATTTTGCTCCATTCCTCAATCTGGCTGGGGAGTGCAGGGGCAAATGAACCTGGACCTGCCCCATTCGGGGTCATGCACCCCTCCCTCCATTGTGCCCACTGGCACTGTAGTGGCCATAGAGAGGTGCTTCTCACCTGGCCCCAAGCTGCTGTGGTGAGAGAGGGCTGGGGTTGTCCTCTCTCCCTGGGGCAGCCTGCATACTGAATCCTTCATCCCTCAGCCCAGCCCAGAACAATGATTTACATGAAGAAAACAAAAATGAACTGAATTAAGGACCAGAGCAATGTCAGGTAAATCTTCTAGTTCCTAAATATTTCATTTAGAAAACCCCCAGAGAAAATCTGGCATTTCCACTGGAAAATTTGGAAAGGAGAAGTGAGTTTTTTAAGGGAATGATTTGATTTTTCCAACCAGATCTGTCATAAATTGCTCACTGCAGGTTTGTCTAGTTCTAACTGACTAACTGCAGCACAGAAGTCTCCAAGTATTGGTGAGAGGACTGCCTTCCTGTGCATATTTACTCTAGGAAAGTGCAGTATCTTAGAAAATGGGCTCATTAATATGACAATAGCGGCGAGGAGTCCTATGGCACCTTATAGACTAACTGAAGTGTAGGAGCATAAGCTTTCGTGGGCAAAGACCCACTTCGTCAGATGCATGTAGTGGAAATTTCCAGAGGCAGGTATAAATATGCAGGCCAGAATCAGGCTGGAGATGACGAGGTGGATCCAATCAAGGAGGATGAGGCCCACTTCTAGTAGCTGATCTGGAGGTGTGAATTCCAAGAGAGGAGAAGCTGCTTTTGCATTCACAGTCTTTGTTTAATCCAGAGTTGATTCTAATATCCTTGAAGATGCAACATACAAAAACCTGTAGGGGACCATTTCAATCTCCCTCAGATCAGCCATACTGTCACTGGTTCATTCTCCTGCACATCCACTAACGTAACATATGCCATCATGTGCCAAGAATGCCCTACTGCTGTATACATCGGCCAAACTGGACAGTCCCAGCGTAAAAGAATCAATGGACACAAATCAGATATTAGGAAAGGCAACATACAAAAACCTGTAGGGGACCATTTCAATCTCCCTGGACACACAATTGCAGATCTAAAGGTAGCCATCCTGCAGCAAAAAAACTTCAGGACCAGACTTCAAAGAGAAACTGCTGAGCTACAGTTCATCTTCAAGTTTGACACAATCAACTCTGGATTAAACAAAGACTGTGAATGGCTTTCTAACTGCAAAAGCAGCTTCTCCTCTCTTGGAATTCACACCTCCAGATCAGCTACTAGAAGTGGGCCTCATCCTCCTTGATTGGATCCACCTCGTCATCTCCAGCCTGATCCTGGCCTGCATATTTATACCTGCCTCTGGAAATTTCCACTACATGCATCTGACGAAGTGGGTCTTTGCCCACGAAAGCTTATGCTCCTACACTTCAGTTAGTCTATAAGGTGCCACAGGACTCCTCACCGGTTTTGCAGATTCAGACTAACACGGCTCCCCCTCTGATAATATGAGATAAACATGATTTAGCATTTAGTATAAACAAAAACAGGTGGAGTTTAAAAACGTAAGAATGGTTCAGTTGGGTCAGACCAAAGGTCCATCTAGCCCAGAATCTTGCCTTCTGATAGTGGCCAATGCCAGGTGCCTCAGAGGGAATGAACAGAACAGGTAATCATCATCTCATCCCTCCCTTATTACTCATTCCTCTCTTCTAGAGACCCCATCCCAGTTAATAGCCGTGGATGGACTTATCCTCTATAAACTTATCTAATTCTTGTCGGCTACGTCTACACTGGCCCCTTTTCCGGAAGGGGCATGTAAATTTCAGCAGTCGTCGTAGGGAAATCCGCGGGGGATTTAAATATCCCCCGCGGCATTTAAATAAAAATGTCCGCCGCTTTTTTCCGGCTTTTAAAAAAGCCGGAAAAGAGCGTCTAGACTGGCCCCGATCCTCCGGAAAAAGCGCCCTTTTCCGGAGGCTCTTATTCCTACTTTGAAGTAGGAATAAGAACCTCCGGAAAAGGGCACTTTTTCCGGAGGATCGGGGCCAGTCTAGACGCTCTTTTCCGGCTTTTTTAAAAGCCGGAAAAAAGCGGCGGACATTTTTATTTAAATGCTGCGGGGGATATTTAAATCCCCCGCGGATTTCCCTACGACGACTGCTGAAATTTACATGCCCCTTCCGGAAAAGGGGCCAGTGTAGACGTAGCCATCTAGTTCTATCATGGTTAACATATTTTTAAACTTGACTGTGACCATCCTCAGAGCAAAGCTGTGCTTAGAGTCGTGTTAATTAAAACATGTGAGTTGATGTGTTCCAACAGGATGCAATTTCCCAGTGTACATAAGGCCTTTGAAGACACTTTTCTTCATTTCCACTTAAGTGCAAGGGCTTATGGCGAGATGGAACGAGAGAATGTGAGGCTCAATGGGTTGAGGAAAGTGCAGAACAGAACACAGTGAAAACAATTCTGAAGTGGCGGATAAACATATTAAAGCCTAAAATGCTCTTTTTAGTTTTTAAAAATGCCTTAAGAAATCTTGTACCAAGAATAGGACCTATAAGCAATGATAGGGCCAAATGGTGGATGTTTCTTGCAGATTCCCAAACAGCTGGAACCTTCATCAGCTAGTCAGCCATATAAATCCTACGAGTGCTCGTCCTTAGGGTGTGAGACGGTGTGAACAGCAGCTATTCTCGTTACAGTCCTCTGACTTTTCTTGTGGCTACTTCCCCACGCAACCACGCCCACCCTGCCTTAAGCTGAGAGACTTAGTTTTTCTGTGCTAAACTGGAGAAGAAAACTACTGGAGGCAGGACTTCCATGGGAAATTACACTATTTACAGACAGAGGAGGTGACAGGGTAATATGTAGTATTTTTTTTCGGGATGTTACAGATCTGTGACCCATGTTGGTGGGGCATTGGGCTGCTAGATTCAGTATAGGACATAAATATAGAGCTTCTGAACATATGGTTTTGGGTGGAAATTATCAGTATTCCTGAATCCCTAATTCCCTGTTTACAGTTCCAGCTGGATAAGGAACTGTTCACTCCCTGCCTTTAATAGCTATACTCCATGGCTGTGTCTACACTAGCATGAATTTCCGGAAATGCTTAAAACGGAATACTATTCCGTTTTCAGTTTTTCCGGAAAAGGAGCGTCTACATTGGCAGGCTGCTTTTCCGGAAAAGTCCTTTTTCCGGAAAAGCGTCTGTGGCCAATGTAGACGCGCTTTTCTGGAAAAGAGCCCCGATCGCCATTTTCACGATCAGGGCTTTTTTCCGGAAAAGACTACTGGGCTGTCTACACTGGCCCTTTTCCAGAACAGTGTTCCGGAATAAGGACTTATGCCCGAGCAGGAGCAGAATAGTTTTTCCGGAATAGCGGCTGATTTTGTACAGTAGAGCATCGTTGCTTTTCTGGAAATTCAAGGGCCATTGTAGACAGCTCGCAGCTTATTCCGGAAAAGCGGCTGATTTTCCGGAATAAGTGGCCCAGTGTAGACACAGTCCATGTGACCAGCCAGTTCTCTGTGGACTTCTGATGGTTCAGGGACCACATTTTTAGAACCTGTGTTTAGTACTGAATACATGGGACCAGCGCTGACCCTTTGAAAAGATTCCAGGTTCTGTGACTTTCTGTGGAAGTGCAGAGATATTCTGCTGACTCACCCAGACAGTCAGACCAGAGGGGTCTCAGGTCCAATTCAGAAGTAGGAGGGATGTAAAAGTGATTATTTGACTTTGACGGTTAAAAGTAAGTTTGGGATTTTGCGCTTTGGTGAGGGGAAATATACTGCGTTCCAATAAGCCACGAACAAAAGCCAAAAGAAGACAAACCAGATTTTAGCAAAACCAACTCATGATGGTTTTTGCCCGATTCCCTAGTTGAGGGCATTTGCATTGTGGAACAACTGTGATACTTTTAAGAACATGCAGAGAAAAGTAACAGAAATAGCTGAAGGGTCTGGAAAGACTGGTTCCTCAAGAAAGTGATTAAAAGAACAAGTCTGAGCAAATGTGCATGTATTCGAAGAGGGAGAAACTTAGTGTTGTAAAAAGTGGAGGGGCTATAAATACAAATAATGTGTTGACCTTAAGACAGCGAAAAAGTAGGCTGAATATGAAGACATATTCCCCAACCATAAAATGTATTGTCTGTGGAATTCCCTCTCGGGGAAATCCTTCAGCAATTTCAGCAGCTGTCTAGTCCTTTCCACGTTCTCCAGAGTAGAGACAAGGCTGCATTTCATGGATCTATGGCTCTGTCCAGGAGAGTCTTGGCTCTTGGCAGGACACCATCCTAATCCATTTGCTTTATCACTGCTACCGGTGGCCTGAGCCATGCTCTTTGCTTGTGGTCACAGACGCTTTTCTTCTGGGGGTTCCTTTTCAGTATGTGTCCTTTGATTGATAATCAGCTTTAACTCTCCTTCTGGCTTCTTCCTGGTGCAATCATCTGACTCTAGCTTGTCATGCTTAGGATACCTGCCTACTGCTTGTGAATAGCTCTCTGCAGGCTTTCCCTCTGTTCCTCATGGTAGCCACATTTTTCCCCTTTATGCGCCTTTACCCCATCCTAGGTGTAGTCTTTTTCTCATTAGTAAATTCTTTCACAGCCTATTTGATTTTACTCCCCTTGTTTCCCTCAGCAATTTCAGCAGCTGTCTAGTCCTTTCCACCTTCTCCAAAGTAAATACAAGGCTGCGTTTCATGCATCTATGGCTCTGTCCAAATGAACCCTGGCTTTTTTGCTATTGCACCTGCATTTGCTCATGAGTGCAGGTAATTTGCACTATCACATATTCAGGGGCCAAACTGCTGATAAAATGTGTGTCTGTGGTTTTTGATTTTTAGGTACGACATAAAAACAAATGCATTGCCCCTAAGAGGTGTCCATGTTTCCACAATGGAAGAGAATACGCTCAAGGAGAGGCCATGAAAAAGGACTGTAATACTTGGTGAGACATTTACATTGTATTTCAAAGCTGCGAGAATGAGGATTCTTAACATGATGCCCTCTCTTCTTGAGGGAAGTGGGGATGGGAAAGAGGATGCATTACAGCATTGGGCTAATAGTGCTGACAAGTGCTAGGTGTGATCTTGACCAACACTGCATGATTACACCTGCGTAGGTCCAGAGTATGATTATTTATAGATTCATGGTTATGGGGGGCAGAATGGCCTATAGAATGGAGTACTGGACTGGGACTTGGAGAAGCTGTTATCCAAAAACACAAGAATGGCCATACTGGTTCAGAGCAAAGGTCCATTTGGCTTCTGTTGGAAGACAGGATACTGGGCTAATGCCAGGTGCCCCAGGGAAAATGAATAGAACAAGTAAATCATCAACTGATCCCTCCCCTATGATCCATCTGGAAAACAAAAGTTAGGGACCCTATCCTGGTTAATAGCCACTGACAGACCCATTCTCCATGAATTTACTTAGTGCTTTTTTGAACTCTGTTATAGTTTTGGAATGTCCTTTCTTTTGGATTATTGTTCCTGTCTGCACCAGCTAATGGACAGCTGTATGATAAATTAAGAACAGGCCGTATATACATAAGAACATGAGGTTCTATTCTTTGCTTTGCCACTGGCCAGCTGGGTGACCTTGGGCAAGTCATCTTACCTCTTTGTTCCTCAGTTTCCCCATCTGTAAAATGCAGATAATGATACTTAGCCATCATTTGTAGAATACCATGAGATCTACTGGTGAAAAATGTTGCATAAGAGATAAATGCTATGGTTTATTATCATTACAGTTACATATGTTTTAAGACTGTAAGGGACCATTATGATTATCTGTTCTGGCCTCATGTATAATACAAGCTATAGATAGATAGTCTCACCTATTATTTTGATACTCTGGTGCCTTGCAGTCATCTCCTTAAGCTTCCTCTGTAAGAACTATTCTATATCTATATAGAAATTGTTCATGTTCTATACATAAGATGTGTTTTTTGTCATATACAACTCCTGCAGACAGATAATGTGCCGTTTAGTACAATACACTATCTACTCCTCCTTTCACCTAACACGCAGGAGCTCAGTGTCATCATTCCTGGACTAAATGTCCCTTGTTCATCCAGAGGAGCCAACAGGATTGTCAGGCCCCTTGGCAATGTGGGGGTGTGGCCTAGCTTTGTGCTTCCAGAAGGGATGGGGCTGGGGCAGCCAGCTCCCAGTGCTGCCTGCAGGATAGCTGCCCTCCCACGCTGGGCCTCACAGCAAGCCAGAATGCATGGCATGGGGTTCTGGAGTGGACAGTGTGGCGTGCCGGCAGCAATTGTAAGCACCTTAGCAGTAGCAGTGGTGGTGGCTGAGAGACCTGGCCCCTTTAGAATCACCGGGCCCTGGAACAACTGTCCCCCTCTGCCAGTTTCCCCCCATCAGTGGGCTTGTGTTCCCCTCAAGCCAATAGGCCATATAGGATTAGGCTTTGCTGTTACCACCATTTAATGGAGTTACTCCATTAGCTCAAGCTTGCTCCTGCCTGTATCCCAACTCACCTACCATAAGAGGCTTGATTTCCAAAAGGGGTGAAGTCCTGGCTGTCGTGGCTAACAGGGAGCTTCTGGCTGCACAGCACTGTTGAAAATCACCAGGCTCACTGAAATGCCTTAGCATAAGGGAATGTGGATTGGATAAATGGATGGTAAGATGGATAGAAAGATGGATAGAAGGCCGGACCCAGCGGGTAGTGATCAATGTCAGAATGGCGGTTGGTTTCTAGGGGAGTGCCCCAAGGTTCGGTTCTAGGACCGGTTTTGTTCAATATCTTTATTAATGATCTGGATTAATTTTGCACCCTCAGCAAGTTTGCGGATGACACTAAGCTGGGGGGAGAGGTAGATATGCTCAAGGGCAGAGATAGGGTCCATAGTGACTTAGACAAATTGGAGGATTGGGCCACAAGAAATCTGATGAGGTTCAACAAGGACAAGTGTAGAGTTCTGCACTTGGGACGGAAGAATCCCAAGCATAGTTACAAGCTGGGGACCAACCAGTTAAGTAGTAGTTCTGCAGAAAAGGACCTGGGGGTTACAGTGGATGAGAAGCTAGATATGAGTCAACAGTGTGCCCTTGTAGCCAAGAAGGCTAATGGCATATTAGGATGCATTAAGAGGAGCATTGCCAGCAGATCCAGAGATGTCATCATGCCCCTTTATTCGGCTTTGGTGAGGCCGCAT